TCCTGTCTCACGTTTCACCTGCTTGTCAGCAGGACACACAGTTCTTTCCTAGCAAGACTGCTTTCTAGGTCTACTAGCCCAGTTGATCTTGTCATATGAGATTGGCCCAATACAGCTGAAGGAACTGGCATTTCCCTTAGTTAAACCTAAATGTGTTTCTGTCAAACCATTTGTTGTGGTTTAAGTCAACCCAGCAGGCAGCTAAACATCATGCAGCCACACACTCCTTCCTAGCCCCTTCTTTTTGGGGATGGGAAGGAAAAATATAACAAAAGAAGGGTTGAGACTAAGGACAGGAAGGGGTCACTCACCAGTTAGGGCTACAGGCAAAAAACAGAGTCAGCTTGAGAAAAAAACCACTAATTTAATTTAAACTAGCATCAATTTACCAATCAGATCAGAGCAGGATAATGAGAAATACTACCAGATCTTAAAAATGCCAGCCTCCCACAGCTCCCTTTTTCCCAGGCTCAGCTCTGCTCCCAGTTCCCCCCAGTGGTGCAGGGAGGCAGGAGATGAGGATTGTGATCAGTCCATCAGGCATTGCGTCTGCTGCTCCTTCCTCCTCAGGAAGAGGACTCCTTCGTGGTCTTCTCCTGCTCCAACATGGTACCACTTCCACGTGAGACAGTCCTCCGTGAACTTCTCCAACGTGAGTCCTTCCCACAGGGCTGCAGCTCTCCTTGAACTGCTCCAATGTGGGTCCCTCCTGGAGGCTGCAGGCCTCCCAGTGACAGACTGCTGCAGTGCAGGCTTCCCTCAGAGTCACGGCAGGCTTCATGGGACCCCCTTCTGGGGTCCTCCACAGGCTGCAAGTGGGAATCTGCTCCACCATTAATCTCCATGGTGTCATCGGTTAGAGACTGGTGAGGTTTTTGGAAGCCAGGGGAGAGCTGTGGGGGATGAGCCTTGCAAAACTTTGAGAGCCTTCCCCATGACCAGGTTGAAGTTGGACCTGCCTTGGCCAAGGCCAGGCCAGTCAGTGCCTCTGCAACCAAGGTATTTAAGAGGTGACCCCATTGTTCCAGTTTCTCTTTTCCCTTTTAGTTTTGTGTCATGTCTTCTCTTCTGTCCTGTCTTTTATGTTGTGGGGGTTTCTGGTTGTTTTTTTTTCTGTTGGAGAAAGGGGAGGTGAGAGGGAAACAAAGGAACGTGGTTGGTGAGGAAAACAGGGAAGAAAGGCACCAGATCATGGTGTTTCCCCAGAGCCCTGTGGTGAGCGAGATGGCAGGGAGATGATTGCCTGTGAACTGAGGGGATCAACGGCAGCAAGAACATCCAGGATGTGAGGTAACATGAAGAGTCCCATGCAAGAGAGGTGAGAGACGGAGCATGAACAGTGGACATGCCCAGAGCGAACCATGACCCTGGTTGGCATGGACTCATGTGGAAGAAGAGGATTGCCTCCTGTGAAGTGGATACCACGCAGCATCAGAGAGAGACTGTGAGGAGCCCTCTTTCTCAGGAAGGAAGGATTGCCATGAATGATAAGTAATGGCCAGATGGACTGCATCCCCCAGTGCCTGTCACCCCTTGAGCTGATAGCAGGGAGGAGATAGCCAGGAGGAAGGAAGGAGTGGGGGTGGGAGTGTATTTAAGATTGGGTTGTGCTTATTTACGTATTTCTCTCGGTATTCTACTCCAGAAATGGTGGTGGTAAACTAAATTTATGTTTTCCTCCCAAGTCTAGTGTGTTTTTTCTCCCATTATCGTAAGTGGAAGATGAATCCACCTTGTCCTTAATCTCAACTCTTGAGCCTTTTCAGTTGAGTTTTCTCCCTCCACAATCCTGTGGAGATGGGGTTGAGGGTAAGAGTGAGCAGGAGACTGTGTGGTTCTTTGTTGTCAGCCCGGGTAGTTGACTTGAATCACAATATATGGGCAGTAGGGGGTCAGCCTGCCATATCACCATGCGCTGCCACAGAATCTCTGCTTTGGCACACCTCTCACTTTCCCTCCTCCATGACCTTGGAGTCCACATAGAATCCTAGAATAGTTTTGGTTGGAAAGGACCTTTAAGGTCATTGAGTCCAACCATCAGTCCAGCCCTACACTAAGTCAGCCCCTAAAACATGCCCCTAAGCATGACATCTACTTGCCCTTTAAACACCTCTAGGGATGGTGACGCTAGCAGGGCCCTGGGAAGCCTGTTCCAGTGCCTGACAACCATTTTAGTGAAGAAGTTCCTCCTAGCACCCAACCTAAACTTTCCTTAGTGCAATCTGATACCATTTCCTTTTATCTTACTACTTGTTACTTGGGCGAAGAGACCAACCCTCGCCTCGTTACAACCTCTTTTCAGGTAGTTGCAGAGAGCCATACGGTCTCCCCTCAGTCTCCTTTTCTGCAGACAGGTCCCTCAGCTGCTCCTCATAAGACTTGTTCTCAAGTCCCTTCATCAGCTTTGTTTCCCTTCTTTGGACACCCTCCAGCACCTCAATGTCTGTACTGCAGCGAGGGGCCCAAAACTGACGAAAGTACTCAAGATGCGGCCTCACCACTGCTGAGCACAGGGGCATGATCACTGCCTTCTTCCTGCTGGCCACACCATTCCTGATGCAGGCCAGGATGCCGTTGGCCTTCTTGGCTACCTGGGCACACTGCTGGCTCATGTTCAGCCATATCGTTGTCGTTCTCACATCTCCCTCCTCTCCAAAACAAAATAACTCTGCAAAGCAAAAGAAGTCATCCAGCAGCTTTTTCCCCTCTTAAACATTTTATCGCAGAGGCACTGGTGTACAGACATGGGTCTGACTTGTGCCTATGGGAGGGTCTAGAAGCTTCCCACAGGAACATCTTCCACCTTTTACCCACTCTCAAAAACTAGGTTTATAGATAGGATTTAGTTAGAGAACTCGTGTACAGGTAGTCAGAGTTAAGTGGCAAATTAGGAGTAATCTGATCTACTACACAAAAGCCTATGGGTGTGGGCTTTTTTAATCCAGCCTAATTAGCTCTGTCTAATCAACATCACTCAACTAAATAGTAAGTACAGGGAAAACCATAAGTCTTGGCAAAATTTGAAGTCAAATCAGTGTTTAGCTCTTGAAGTAATTCTCTCATGTCTAGATATTTCTCAGCTCTGTGAACAGCAACATTATCTACCATCCATGCTGAAACATGAAGCAACAGAAGGTTGTAATTCCAGCTCTAGTACTAAATTTGCAGATTTCCAAAGGATTATTTAAAATGCTGCATTGATTTAAGATGTATACAAATACACACAATATAGTAAAAACATGTTTTGAGGTGTGCTTTAGAGATGCTAACAAAAAAGGATTCTTATTGCCCTGCTGTAACGCATTGTGTTTCAGTACCATGCAGGGAAAAAAGATAATGTAACAAAGAGTTAATTATCAGTGAAGGAACTCTTAGAAATATCATGGGGATATATGTGGATTGTGTGTCCCTAGTGGCTATGTGTATAAAGACTGGGAGCCTCTTGCTCAGACTTTTGGCTTTGTGATTGAACACGAGACATTTAGAAATCATTTCACGTGACAGTGGAATGAGACAGCTGGATTTTAAGAAACTAATACCAAAGTAATAAAAACCTGCTGAGCATGGGAGAATACATTCAATTCCTAATATGATAAAAGGCTGGAACATTGTCAACATACTACATTCATAGCAAAATAATGTATTTCTCAAAAAAAAAGAAAATATATGCACTTAGAAGTGTCCCATAGAGCCTCAATGGGACTCTGATCAAAGATCATGTTTGAAAATATTACCAGGGCTAAGAATGAAAAACAACAAAAGGAACTAAGCAGGAATATATAGAGGCTGTTAGGGTGCACAGACATACAACAGGGCCAGCAAGAAATCCTAAATAAGTGCTTATCTGAAAAAAAAAATGTTTAAAAAATATCTTGAAAAAGGTGTGCAAGTCAATCAAGGGAAAAGAAACACCGAACAGCAAGCAGGTCCATGAACATACCAAGAAGATTAAAATCTATAATGATCCTAAAATGGCCAAGCTACTAATAATTTTAAAATATACTGCAAGAAAAAATAAAGAAAAGGAATATTGGCAAGTAGGATATAATGAAGACCATGTTGATGTATAACACCTGCCTATATAAAGCTGATGAAAAGAAATTATCAGGGGAAAAAAACCAAAAAAGATACAAATTCCTTAGTCTGAAGGATATATATTTTGGGGCTAAAGGGAATTAGTTAATGAATTTATGAAGTGACTGGTAATTATTTATGAAAAGTCATAGAGAACTGGGGTGATAGAAATGACAGCAAATTAATTAGATTTGCAGGTGTTGGAAGACAGTATGAAACTGAAGACCTTGCAGATGATCTAGAGAAGTAAGAAACATGGAACAAGAATAGACTCTTGAAAATTCTCACACCAATAGAGAGAACGTGGAATAAGAAAGAAATTTGGTTAATTTGGTATAAGAATTTAAAGTAGATTAAAGACTTGTTTGAGAACATTCAAATAGCAACATACCTCTGCCTGGGAAACAGACAACTAAAACATGAAGAAAGTGAGAAAATACTACAGTATACATTCTGAAAGTGGAAACACTAAGAATTAAGAAACGCAGTTGAGGCTGTTCAGGCAGTAATGGGATGAAAGTAAGCAAAGGCAAATCTAGGCTGATAATCATGAAAGAAATCCTTATGAATTGAATAATACTAATGTTCATAATACTTAACATTTATATAGTACTTCACATCTTCAAAGTGCTTCACTAATATTAACTAATTGCTCTATTGAATTGTAGGAAAGACTCTTCCCTCAAGGGAAGAAGTTCCAGGTCCTGAATCCCTAAGAAGCTACATTAGAAAACCTATGAAAAACAAACACTATATAGAAAAATCAGCCCCTGGAAAAGTAGAGATTTTATGAACTAAAATAATTTTCCTTCATTGGCTTTTTCTTTTACATATGAAAAGGAAAAGCTACGCATGCTGTACAGTATCATGCAGATGCTCTGTCCCCCAAAGAGATACAAAGGGAAGAATAGTTCTTCCTTTTTTTAATGCAGAGATATTTCAAGAAGAGGAAGACTTTAAACAGAAACGTAGAGAAGTGCCAAATATTGCAGAATGCAATGGATGGAATCTAATTTAGTTTCCCAGCCCCAAAGTAAAAATTTCAAGGGTAGAAAGGAAGAGAAATACACATTTCTGTACTCCAGTGAGCTTTAACTAGACAAGTTTTTAGTACAAATTGACATAGCTGCTGGTGACACCAATAAAAATGATTTACTGCTGAAAAGATCTAAGGCTTGAGGATTAGTTCTTCTGTTTAAAGATTTGCTGGTAAAACTAAAGAAGTTTGGCTACAAGACACAAACACCTGCTAAAGTACAGGAATAAAAATCAAGAAGCAAACAGAAATAGGAGACAAAAAGCAGCAGTGAGAGAATAAAAGCTGATTGCCCAAGCTGACCCAGTAAGCTTCTGTCCTGGTGTTCTCAAATTAGAACCTTCTATCTTGAAAAAAGAGAGCACAAGGTGAGGGGACCAAGTTAACAATGCTCTTCTCCCCATTACTAAACATCTCTAGGGAGAAAGGAGAAAAGTGGGTTTATTAGGAAATGACCCTTTCCAAACTCACTGCACTCACAGTAAGTGAGCAGTCCTGTGGGCAGTAGAGCCTTCTGCCATTCCAGCATGGCAGCAGTTTCCTGACTAATCATTCCATCTTCTAAAAAATAAATTAAAATCTAAGAAGACAAAGGTAGTCGAACAAGATAACATCAAGTCTGGTACAACTTCCTATGTTGCTGCAGAAGGATGCTATCATGAGTTGCACTGTCCCCAAGGTATCTGTGGGTAAATAACACCAAGTTTCACAACTCAAGATGTTACCTTGTTGACATTGTTCCCCATTCCCACATCACATGGCTTAGCTATAGCTCAGGTAAATGCACTGCAGTAGAGGGATCCCTTCGTATTGGTACAACAGTTACTGAACACTGAGATAGACCCCAGGCTTGCTGGCTCAGCGCTCTCATGCCGCAAGGCAAACACCACCTTCTTTTAAATATCACCACAGAAAAACAATGTTAGCATCCCTCATTTTATTTTTGTGAGATGACACAGGATTGTTTCCTAATAAATTCTGAAGCAGAAATCCCAGGTCAGCAACAGATGGGAAGATCCAGCAGAAGCAAGGACAGATACAGCTAGGTCCAGAGCTAGTTGGAATTAAGAAACTTGACTTTGTGCCCTGGTGATTCCCAAAGAAAAAACACTTTACAAGTATGTGCGTATGCTCATTAAAGGAGTCCAAACTTATAACAGAGGGAAGCCAATTAAAAAGGTACTAAATACAGAAGCCTTCAGTGATTAGTGCTAGGTAATTTGCCTCATGATAAACAAGCCATTCAAATCAGTAACAGACCTGAGGTTGTTCCACAGCTTGAAAGCATTTCACTGAACTTTATCTGGTATCACAGCAAGTGCCAATGTTTGTAAGTTAAATCTTGCCACATAGCTCTACATCTCCAAAGCTAGCAATCCCAGTAAGTGTTTGCAAAAGATACCCCCTATCTTCAGAGATTATGCTGACCACTACAATCGCTAAAGCAGCATGGGTACAGCTTTGCTGCTACATGCAATAGCCAGCTGCAGCTTGCAACTTCTCCTAAGTACTACAAAATTAAATGAATGAATGAAGAAGAGGCTAGGTTGGATTTTTTTCCCTGCGAATCTATGGAAAATAAATTACTTTTTGGAGACTATCCCTATTCAAGGAACAAAACCCATCATCCACCTGTGAAAAATCTCAATTTTATCACTACAGCATTGAGAAGGAGGGGGGAGAAGGAAGAGGAAAAGAGAAGAAAAAAATAATGATAGCTGAAAAAAAAAGGTAAAAGAAAACCATCAGTGAAAATTGCCCCTGAAACTTTGCAGAATTGTAACGGCTTTCTCTTGCTTAAATTGATTGGTGTAGCAATGTTATAAAATGACTATTAGGATTCATTGTGCACAACAGAAAGTGTGAAATGTCAGCAGACTATACAGCAAAAGTAATGGGTCCTGAACCCCTGTTAGTCAAAAATGATTTTGTTTCAAATTAGAAATTGATTTTTTTGGACACAAGCCCTTTACAGGCTTCCAACTTTTGTAGCTGTGCCTTGGAAGAGATTAACCTCAGCCACTGTTTGGGTCCAGGCTGATGATACCCTTTTGAAAGTTTCTTCACAGGGACTGCTTTTTAATGTTGGCACGGTCTTAACCAATAACACAAGTTATTTGTTCCTTTGAGAACTGCATCACATTTCTTCTCATTTTGCCATTTTCTTTATTTTTATGCTGACATATACAGCAAACCGGCTGACAAGTTAAAATAAAAAAAAAGCTAGCTCATAATTGAACCAAGGATTATGTTCAAGGCTCGACAGTGAAACAACTAAGATGCTTTTGTTTCCAACCCTTTTGCTTCCAAAGAAAGACTGCTTCTCTGCTCCTTACGTGGAGGTACTAAGCTAAGAGCAGGATAGATTCTAGCCATACAGATATCCCTGTGTCAAAATATCAGGTTGTGATGGTGGAGCCATTACTGAGGAGGAAAAGAATGTGAAGAAGATTACATTTCGAGAGCAAACCCCACTGCACTTATTCTCTATGCTTGCTGGGAAAGTAAAATGAATTGTTTAAGTAGCTTTTTGAGCTTAAAGGGCTATTTTTTCCCTTCCATCAGCAACACGAGCCAAGAGGATCACTTGTTATTTACATGGCTTTTTATGTTTTTTGATAATTTATACGTAGCTAGCACCTCTTGGGTTGTTTAAAGCAACTTGCAATTCTTGCCTTCTAATTGTGCATTTTACTGATATGCTCTTGAACACATATATAAAATTTCTAAATGGAACCAGCACACTCATGGCCCTGCAGTACAGTATGCTTTCCCATACCTTTCCTTGACTTGGTGCTTTCCCTCTTGGTTTGCGTCAGAAGGGTTTGCCCATCTTCCACGTTTGCATCAAACCCAACCATTTTCTTCCCCAAACTGCTCCCACCGCTGCTCCCTGGTGTCCTGGAGGTCTTGCTCACTGGAGGTGTCCTCAGAAAACAATCTTCACGTTTCAGTACTGGTACACTGGGAAGAAAGAAAGACCATATGATATGTTCAACACTTTTAATGCTGCGCCCAGCCCTCTCCCCAACTTTCATTCTCCAGAAATGTACTAATCATGATGCTCATGGAGCTCTTGCTGAACTCATTTACAATGCCTGAAAGCAGGACGCCTAAGGATTTAAGAGTTAACAATCTATCAGGAGATTTTGGTCATCAGCAGCTGGCAGCACTCTGACAATTACCTTTGGAGTTTTATGGCATTTGGCATATTCCTTAAAGCATTAAGTCCTGGATTTTCTGAGTGGTTAGGACAGTACAAGTGGGATGAAGATACAGAAAGTACTTTGTCCAGCACAGTGGAGGAAGTTTGGTAGAAAGAGTAACTAAAAAAAGGGGAAACAAAGGAGATTATGTGAAGAAAAAACTGGAGTCATAGTTTGCAAAAGGGAAGAAAATCATTGAATCACAGAATCATTTAGGTTGCAAAGGACCTTAACTAGATAATCTTTAAGGTCTTTTCCAACCCAAACCATTCTATGATCACTGAGTCCAGCCATTAATCTAGCAATGCCAGATCAAACACTAAACAATGTCCCTGAGCACCACACCTACATATCTTCTAAATACCTCCACAGATGGTAATACATTGATTCAACAAAAAAAAAAACAGAGGAGATGAGACAAAGAGGTGAGATGAATGAACAGAGCAGGACAGAGAATGCATGACCAAGTTGCTGGGACAGTATCTGTTGCAGCAAGTGCAGCAGTTTCAGTAAAGACAATAGAAGTTAACCAGAACCATTGTGGCTCAAGGTGAACTTCAACACTGCACAGATAGAACCAGGAGGCCAATTTGGTGATGTGAAGCAAGCATGGTTTCAGCCTCTGCAGACACAGGCAATCCCAAAACATTGCGGGAGGACAGGTGGCTGTGGAGATACATCTTTCTTTCCATAAAGACAACCTACTGCTTTCAAATTCTGCTCTACAGGAAGCAACTACTGCTTTAAATGAGGATTCCCAACATGTTTACATCATTAGCCCTATCACCATTATAGTAAAAAAAGCAATTAAAACCAAAAAAATCTTTGGATTATCCACATAAAGGAATACAATCCATCTACTTGCAGTCATGGAAGTGACATACAGTTTTCCAAAGTCAACAGAAGATTAAACAAATCTTTCCTTTTTAAGCACCAATTCTACATGGGCAACCCCAAAACTGACAGTGAGTTTGTATTATTTGGGATACAGCTTTGTGAAGTCTGATTCACAAGAAACTTTTACCTGAAAGCCTACACTACTGAAGTACTGTACATCTAAGGAAAAAGTGGATTATCTGAAGTTCCCATCAGAAAATGATAGCTAAATTAAAAGTTTCAAATCAATGTGCTGTATAAGCCATTGCTTAATAGGGCCCACTGCGCCTGTTGGACAATTAGTATTACTCCTGTATTATTAATGCAGAACAGTATATAATGGCTTATGACCTGTAATAACTGGCTGAAGTGTTGGATAAAACTTCTCTGAATAACCTCCGTTTACTTTAGGGCTTAAAACTGTGTGGCCACTAATAATATTGCAAAGTGTTATTAAAATTTATGGTGGACTAAATTAGTATCTTATTTGAATTATATGAAATTATTAACCTACTAGTTCCTGCAACCCAGAGTACAGCAAGAGGTGAGTCTAGACCCTGATAACTGTTTAAAGGGGCTTAAAGGTGTAATACTTGACCAGATTTCTCTGATAATACAGGAGTTGATACTCCATTTGCCTGTACTTGGATGATTAATAGCATTTAAAAACACACAGGTTGTCATTATTTGGATGCTTCCCGAGTTTTTAAAATACATTTAATTACAACCTACAGATCTGTGAAGACAATGACCTTTGGCTTGCAGATGAGGAGGTGATTACTCAACTGGTTCACTGCAATACCATTTACATGGTGTGGTTCTCTCTAGAATACCTAATTCTGGTTTAAATAATGCTATGGCAGAGCCAATTCAAACAGAAACAGATAACAAGAAGAAGTTACAGAAGCTAATTTATGCGAAAATAACAAAAGCAAGTATATTCGTGTTTTTATTTCACTAAACAATTAATTAGAGACTGTTGTTTAGTATTCATAAAAGAAAGCTCATGCCAAAGTTTTGCTCAAGTAAGCATAGAGAGTCCAATCTTAAAATGACAATCTAGAGGTGTGCAAGACCAAGGAGAGGATAATGCAGAGAGATACATATATTCAACAATTAACAATGTACCAAAATTAAACAAAAACAAACATAAGGAGGAGGGAATTTATTTCAGAACGTAGTTACTCATTCATCTGTGGAATAATTAGTAAAATGAATGATGTGACTACTGCAACCTGTAAAATTTAAAACTAACGTACAGTCCAAACGGATCAGTTATGTATAGCTAGAGAGATTAAGCAACAAAACAGGTCCTTTTCTATTTTCAAATCCAGCAATCCATTGTACCACTCAAATGCAGTGTTGTTAGTAGGACTTCCTGCAGGGCACCATGACATTCGATGAATTTTTGTGCTATTCTCTGAAAATACACAACAGCGATAACTGTCTATATAAAGACCTTAGTAACCTACCTAACTTACATACTAAGGCAGGACTTCTAGAGTAGCATCGCCAGAAAAGCAGTGAGTCTCAGTAGTTCTGCCTCCTTATGAATCTTGAAGTACATCACCAACAAAGGAAAATACACCTTGAATGTTTTTTTCCAAATTGTCTGAGCCTCATATCGCGATATCCCTGCTGAGTGTGAACGGCAAATTTTAAATGTCATTCAGGACCCATTGAATGCTGCTACTATTTGCATTCCTTAAAAAGTAGAACAACATTAACCTTTTGTTTTATTGAATTAAAATGCCATGGAAATGCTGATGTAGTCTTCAGAGACTGAAATACTTTTACAAAGAAGAATAGCTGTCATTTATTAGACACAAAGAACAATTACTTGATAGGATGCTTTCTGACAAAAAGCAGATTGGTATTCTTATCATAGAAAAGGCATTGTAAAAAAACCCAGCACAGACCTCTGAGACTTGAATAATTTAAAGCTGCATTTGGTGCAATTTGAATTTTTCTTTAGGGAGGCAAAGTTAAATACCTTTAATTTGTTCTAATTATTTCAAATTTGCAAGTTAATTATGGCTGATCATTAAATAACAAAAAGGACTATCGTCTCCATAGAGTTTTACCTCCTACCCTCTGCATTACTTAAGCTAGATTTTAGTATGCATGAATTAACTTTCTAAATAATCACACGGTTTGACTAAATGGCTCAGTAAAATGAGCTCTGATCCTCAGAATAAGCATTAATGGACATTAGAAAGGCTATTGGGACCCATGTTACTTACATTATAAGTATTTTTAATGGGGTCTTATTTACTAATCTTTATGTACTGTTCAAGTTAGGGCACCATATAGATACATTATTCTGCTTTAATAGAGGAAAGTCAGTTCTTCAAGATACTAAAACAAATGACCGTTTAGAGCCAACTAAATTCATTTTTAAATTAATGCAGGAAAACTCTGATAGAATTTAACTTGTTTTAGTTGCTCATCCTGATGAATCAATCCAGCATAATGGCAGCCTTGGTCTGCAAATGGAGTTTTACAGATCTGCTGAATCGCTAAGCAACTCAAGCAGCTAAGACTCTTGCCACAGAGTAGTATTTACTATCAGCATGTGTACGCTCACCAGGTTTCATCTCTCCCCTGCTCCAGAACTCGTGCTCATCTGATGGGTTCCCAATTTTGGACGCTCACCTTTCATTGAACTCTGATCTTTTCATCTATTTTTCAGTGATCAGAAGCATTCAGAAAACACGACGATGTTAAAACTAGTCGGAAACCCAAAACGTGAGGCAGTTCATGCCTCCAGTATATATGTTCAACAGATGGATGCCTTAATGGTACCCTGCTGCTCCCTGTTGAGGCAATGGCTTGTGAGTTTAACCATTATCAAACTGAGTGCCATGGTAGGTTAGCTCCAAAAGCAAGCATGTTGGAATATTATTTTCCTGTTCCACAATTTCTGTTTTAAAAATAAAATAATTAACAGTTCATGTGTGCAATCTGTTGCAATTATGTCAGGCCAAGAATGCATAACACTTAATGATGCAAAACTGGTGATATGCAGACAACCCAAGCAATACGTTTTTGTAGCTGGAACCTGTATTGCCATTTCAGATGCAGTTTAACAAACAGGCTGAAAATTGCTTCCCCGTCGCCACTTTGGCTGGGAGAGTTTTCAGCCAGATCAGCTTCCAGAGCCAGCTCAGTATAAAGCAGTAGCATCACTAGTGCTGGGACAAAGAAGAGGCTGTCAATATATCATGGGATGTTCTTTTTAGCCCGAGTCTGAATTTAAATCAGTTTAGATCAAGTTATTGAACTAACCTTTTGAGAACTACTAGTTCCAAAGTGAGAGTGTTCTGGAATTTAGTTGTCTGCATAGTAAAATATTTGCAGCAAAAAAAGGACGGTAGACTTCGACTGAGTGCATCTGAGATGCTACAGCAGTGGTTTCCTGAGAAGTCAAAAGGTTTTTTATGTCTGGTCAAGTGTACTGTATTTCTCTGTGTAAGCCCTCATTTCCAGAACTACCAAGTGCCTCAGATTTTTCAAGAATTTTTTTTCCAGTTATGTGCCAGGGAGAGGAGTGTGGTTACCCTAATCCACAAGGCAAAGAAGGTAAAAAACTGATGTAGTAAGGAAGCTGACCTCCTGGACAGTAAGCAGGTCAACAAAGGAGGAAGAGAACTGGAACTGACTCCCTGAGAAAGAGAGACGTCTGAAATTAGCGTGTACACTGTGTGGATCTGCTTAGAGCTAATCATGAGAAAATTCTGACAACAGAGGTAGAGGTTACAGTTTTTCTTAGCACATCTCCATCTGAGGCCTGGAGTCCTCTTCTGAGGTGAACACAGCCTGTCTCTTCTTGCCAGCAGAGCTGGGGAGAAACACATGAAGAGGTACAAGCCAGCAGACCAG